ATTACTTGAAGAGTTATGACATTATTTTATTCATATATTTGATTTGACTAAAACATGTAATAATAATCTAACTTAAGCCAACTCAACAAATAAGTTGATGTGGAATAAGTTGTTTAATTGTTGCTTAATTGTTGTAATATTAGAGTTTTTATTTGAAGGTTTGATTTTAATATATAATATAGATATAGATATGTTAATTAACCCTCATTATCAATTTGGTGGTTTTCAACTTAAATAAAACATGTTTTATAAAACTTTTGCTTGAAAAATTACATTGCAAATATCTAGAAAAATTATAATTTGTTTAAGTAAAATATTAACTATAAATTATTTAAAAAATTTAATCACTGACCACGTATTTTTGATATAATTTCCAAATATGAAGAAATTATGAGAACGTCCATACAATTGATTTCATCATAAATCAGAGTATTACTGAGTCGGCGTTTAAATTTTTTATTTCTTGAGATTTCATATCTTTTGTTCGATAATTAGCATATGAAAAATATTTTAATGAAAATGTACATATATTTATATTCTTAGAAAAATCTAATAAGTAGAAAGAAAATTTTAAATTTTTCAAAAATTTATTTATTTGTAATTTAAATTATGGAGTGATTGTGATAATGAAAAAGAGAAAAAAAATTATTTTTATTTTTTAGTTAATAAAAAGTTGTGATTTGTTTTTTTTTTAAATTACGTGATATGTTTGTGTCTATATTAATATTTGTTTTTCGTATAATGACTTTAAGTGATTTGGCTGGGAGTTGGTTTTGAGTAGGAATTAGGGCTAGAAATAGAATATTTAATTTTCTTTTAAAATAGAATGTTAAATTTTCTTATTAATTATAATAATATAATGTTCATAAGGGACAAAAAGAGTGATGAGAGCACACAAACTTTAAACTCAAAAACATAATCAAATATAAAACAAGGCAAGAAACTATAATTTAGAAAAGAATTATAGTCCGACAAAAGATCATTTTGAGATTAACAAATCTAAGGCTTAGAGAAGATTAGATGACTCGTTAAATCAAATCTGCTGCAAAACTAAATCTGATCATTAACAGTCCTAATTTTTAACAATACTTCTAAATTTTTAGTTTTAATTTGCATCATAATATTTTGTAAATAATCACTAGCTAGGAAAATGATGCAAAATAACCTACAACAAGAGTTTTGAAATTTATTTTGAACTCTATCTAAAACCTTCAACCAAATTGTTCTTGCTCATGGTTTTTTAGTCAATAAAAAGGTAACATGGGTGATCTTAATTACCTCTTTAGACTTTCGATCATTTAAAATATTTTTATAACGGATCGTACCTGATCAGATTTGGACCGTCACGACTGGCTCGAGTAGAATTTGAGTGAGATGGGGGATACCTGCAAGACACTTCGATGCTAAAATGAGTGACGGAATGAGAAGGCAAAAAATGTATAGGTGCGTAATAGATGAATATCTGACCCTCTGGTGAACAGAGGGTATTTATAGCCCCCAGCGCTGGGCCAAGGTCCCCTCATTGGGCTGACCAGAACTGGCCCAATAAAGGAACTGCCAGGTTCTACGTGCGTAGTGGGGCCCCGCACGTGGTCCCCTTCCTGGTGGTGCTCTGCGAAGAATGGGGAGGGACGAAGACGCGGTCTTTCCGGAGTTTAGAGGATTCAATAACGGTCAGAGTGGACAGAATCTGCCCTACGGGGAGGGTGCTCGAGCAGGACTCGAGCTGAAGTTCCCTTGGTCGGGGACGCTATGTGTCGCAGGCAATGGCGGACATCATGGCTACAGTCTGTGGTCGGGCACGTCGGCGGTGATCCCCGAGTGCGCGTTCCTCGAGGAGTCTGCTTGGATTGGGCCTTTGCGCTTTGGGCCAGGGTAGGCCCAGTCCAGAATAATAAAGATCAAAAATATCTTCAATGACACTATCGCCAAAGTGACAAACTAGTAAAGATTCAATCGCAGTCCTGATGCATCGTGTCATATTGTATCCATCGTCTTTGAACGATTTTGACATGGTAGATTCGATGTCCAAAACTTCTCAGCAATCAAGATCATTCCAATTCACTTCAGAAATCTCTGGTTTATTGATTGTGAATGATCCTTTCTCGAGAACTTCCATATTCACTTCAGATGGAGAAGAGTAATATGTTGAAAGTATATAGTTTCTGTACGCCAATAATTCTCTACATCATAATATATTATATCAATTATTTAATAATTTTATCAAGTTAATTTTTATTTATAATAATAAACGAAATTTCTTCGCTAAAACTAGTTCAATTAAGAAAAGTCAACGTCATCATTAGACTTTGAATCCTAATACTAAGGATAGTTAATGTATGTGAATTTCTAGTAACTATTATCATTTCGTCTAACGAAAAAAAAAAAAAGAATATATCTGCAAGACCATGTCATTAAGAATTATTTACATGAGACCCCAAATGTAACAAGACTCTTTACTTGATGGATTATCAACTTTTCTTCTTGGAATTGTTAGAATCATACGACCACCTTCAACTAATCCTTTGGCTCAACACTCGAGAAAAAGAGAAAAATCTATTTGAAATTGCTTGTAGTAAGCTTTGAGAACATTTGAAGGGCTTGTGCTCGACACGTAAACCTTCTTTTATTTGTTTTATTAAACCTTTTTGCTAAAAATACTCTTTTTTGAGAAAACTTAAACCTGAGATTGCTTTAAGAACTGACTATAGCAATAAGAGTCGGTTGTTCATCATCAATGAAATGCTTATTGATTTTGAGGAAATAATGGCTTAAGATAATTGATCTTCCAAAGATTGTGTCCTATCAAGGTTGGATTGCTTACTTCAATATGCTTTATGGTCCTACTTACCTTAATTTTCTCAAAGAATTTTGGATAAATGCATCTGTCAAAGACATCAATCAGGTGTTTTTTATCCAGTCTAATGTTTCTAGCATTCCCATCACCATTACATCATTTATTATTACTAATGAAACACTACAAAAGTCTCTAATTTTTATTCCACGTCCTCAGTCTAGCATCAAGTGTTAGTATCTAACTTTATGCCAACGAACAAGAATCAAAAGCTTCTGACTATGGATAACAAGCATTTTTTACTTCTCCTCAACTCCAGGATAAAATTTAACATACCTCAAGTATTTTTTGACTACTTGAAGCTGACACTCATGACCTTTCACAACGTAGTGACATCTTTCATTCCTTTTGGATGAGTTCTCTTAGAACTCTTCATTTAAGAAGGAATATTTATAATTATGGCCGATGTTCTTTTAAAAACCTGAGGTGAGAGTCTGAAAGCACCTAGAAGCTATGAAAACCCAAGAAAGATAATTGGACAGATTATGAGGCCAAACCTTCTACTCCTTATTTTCTCACTTGATTGAGTCTTGTTGTTTCTCTATTTGTCTTGTTTAAGCTTTCATCCTATTTTTTAAATGGTTATCTTCTTATCAATGAAAATTTTCCGTTTTTGTATGCTATACAATCTTTTAAGTTATTGCTCATTCTTTTTTATTGATGACAAAGGGAGAGAAATGTATTGATTTTTATATATGCGTTTCTCATAATTGAACCCAAACATGCGATATTTCTTGTGGGAGGCTTATTATTTAGGCAATCTAATCGCAATATCTATTTTTTGTGTTGAAAGATGTTTGTGCTGAATTTGATAACATCTAAGTAAAAATGAATAGACTTATGTTAACCAGGTGAGTATATTATATTACTCTGATTAAAATTTTCTATAATACCATAATCTTCTAAGTCTTACTCTCAGGGGGAGCTTGCAAACCTCACCCGGAAGAAGCCAATTTTTTTTTATAATCTTATTCTCAAGGGGAGCTTAGAAACCTCACACTGATGAAGTTGAAAATGTTTATTAGGTTAAACTCAGAGGGACCTTACAAATCTAACTCTGATGTTTTAAACTATTTTTGTATATCAAAGTAAAATTATTCATCATAATGTATGGATTTGTCATCATATAAAAATGAGAGATTTTTTAAACAAATTGGATTCTGCAACTATCCTTGAGTTTTGATGATAACAAAGCATACAATGTATAGAGAACAATTTTATACTTTAATAATTTTGTTAAGTGTGCAGATTCTAATAAGAAAGTTCTAGTTAAGTTGTGAACTCTGAACAAGATAAATATAAACTCCGGATATAAGTGCACTCTGAACCAAAGAAATAATTAAGAGGTGTTGTTAATAAAATTCAAATTGGATATTAACGGCAATAATTTATTGCACTTTATTCAATGAATAACTTAGCAAGATAAATCCTCACATTTTGAACAACTATTTTAAATTATTTTGAAAATCACATGTGAACATTTTCCTCAAGACCCACATAAGATGAATCACATGTCACGTGAATGGATTCAAAAAATTAAGAAAATATACTCAACTTATAAATTCAACATTTTTTTCATTCCTAAGAACTTTAGCACAATTTTCTAACACTAACCCAACACCAAAATGTGAAGAATTATTTTGCTTGGTTATTCAATGAAAAATGAAAAAGCAATGGCCATAAAGGGACCGAAATACACCAATCTTTCCTTATGATTTGTCACTCTCAAATTGAATATTAACGACAATAATTTAGTGTACTTTATTCCATGAATATAATCTTTAATTTTTTTATTTTAATAATTATAATAATAATATATAATTATTAATAAGGACAAATATATTCTCAAAAACATAAACTAAACAAATATAAAACAAGGCAAGAAAGTAGAATTCAGACAAGAATTCTAAATACCACTAAGATTAACAGAAAATAAACTAAGGCTTAGAGAAGATAAGATGATTCAATAAACCAAATCTAATGAACAACTCTTTTAATAATATTTCTAAATTTTTATTTTTAAATTGCATCATGACATTTCGTAACTGATCAGTATTTAGGAAAATGATGCAAATTAACCTATACCATGACTATTGAAACTTATTTTGAACTTAAAATATAAAACTTTCAACCAAATTGTTCTTCCTCATGGATTTCTAGTCAACAATAAGGTAAGATTGGTGAACTTAGTTCTCTCCTTAGACATTCGATCACTTAAAAGATTTTTATAGCGGTCAAATATCTCTTCAATCACACTCTTGCCAAAGTGACAAACTAGTAAAGATTCAATCCCAGCCCTAACGCATTGTGCCATATTGTATCCATCGTCTTTGAATGATTTTGACATTTCAGATCCAATGTCCAAAGCTTCCCAATGATCAAGAGTATTCCAATTCACTTCAGAAATCTCCAGTTTATTAATTGTGAATGATCCTTCCTCGAGAACTTTCTTATTCACTTCAAATGGAGAAGGATAATATACTGAAATGTTGAAAGTATCAAGTTTCTCTTTGCTAATGATTCCCTGCATCATAATTGAATATATGTTACTAATTCAAATGGGAAAAGTCAATGTCATAATTAGACTTCGAGTCGCGATACTCAAGATAATTAGTATATGCAAATTTATAGTAATTATTACCACTTCGTCTGACGAAAAGAAGAAAAAAAAAGAATATACCTCCAAAACCATGTCATTAAGAATTATTGACATGAGATCCCAAATGTAACAACACTCTTTATTTGATGGATCATCAACTTTTCTACCTGGAATTGTTAGAATCATACAACCACCTTCAACTAATTCTTTGGCACGACACTCGAGAAAAAGAGAAAAATCTCTTTGAAATTGCTCATAGTAAACTTTGAGGACATTTGAAGGACTTGTGCTTGACAGGTAAATATAGTTAATGATCATAAAAAAAATAAAAAAAACCTTTGAAAGCCAATGAAGACCGTAAGAGGAATGAACAAAATGCAAACTTTTATCTGGAAAAATTCTTCCATAAAAGGAACCAGGAGCCCCAAAGAAATAGCAAGGACCTATTTCAGTTTTCATTTCATGGTATAGGTTTTCTTTGAAGGTGTCAAGAGACTTAAATACGCTGTTGAAATCGTTTTCAGATAGATCGTTCATAAAGACTTTATATTCAGGAGATTTGTGATTAAATTTTCGACAAAGATTTTCCACGACCTTGATAAATTCTGAGATCACTAACAAAGTGTTTGGTCCAGAAGAACAACCTAAGTCTGCAATTGCCAAACTTTTGGGCAGTGTGTCGCAGTACAGATTTGTTATGGCTTCTTCTCTCAAAGGCTTTGTCAAAGAAATCACCTTTCTCTGTAAAATAGTTATATTTATTTGTCACTCTAAAATATGGAAATTTTTGTATAATTGTTATATAGTTGAATTCTTTATATGTGTAGATATATAAATATACCTGAAGTGAGGAGTTTTTTGCATAGCTTACTTCTTCATCGCTCCCATTCATGTGTAGTCCCATTCTTGTCTCTTTTTATCTTTCTTTCAAACTAGTTTTGCTTTGATGCGTATGATTTTAACTATAGCCCTGGCCACTTGCTTATAAAGATGCATATGTTATGCACGTTAGCATATTAAATGAAGCTTAACATATACGGTGTATAGCTACGGATAGTAGGTATCAATCCAAAAAATAATAATTTAAAATTCATCAAAATTAACAAAATAAACATGGAGAAATATATATAGAGAATTTCTTTATGTATTAGGGAGTGAGAAAAATTCTTGAAAACTCAAAAATACCATTTGGAGAAGTATCTTCGAACCTACTCTAAATTAAAGTGTTTCGGAGATGTATGTCTGTAAAAAATTTATTTGTATTTGGACGTTATATTTAAACATGCAGTAATATTTTTAAAGATGTATCTCCGAAACTCAGGACAGTGGTATTTTTTTTAAAATTATCAATATTTTGATAAATAATTAGATGAAAACAACAATAAAAACGCAAATGAAAAATGATAAGAAATAAGAAATGATAATAGACATAATAAAATATTTTAATTAAAACATAATAATACAATAATTATTCATAAATTATTCTGGAAAGAAACACATAGTCTACTGCGTATGCATGATCCTCACTCCCTGGCCTCTCCTTTGTCTCATGTATCCCGTCGCACTCTCTGCCTCCCCGACCATCCACTCTACAATGGTCACCGCCTCGGGACTTCCCCGATCAATGGTACATATGTTCAAAGCCTTCCGCGAATCATCTGTATCTACTGACAAATCGGCAAGAGATCAATGACATGGTCATCTCTGGTCTGCTGCTTCTCTAAGATCTTCTCATGAGCTGGCCTAGGTGGACATCCAAGAGCATCCAGTGTCATGATAGGATGTGATACTATGTAGAGTCATGTCACGTATCCCTCAAAATAGTGCCAACTACTGGATGCATGCATCATTCGATACTCCTCTAGCACCAAATGATGTTCCCAGTCCTGAAATATGTCATCCAGATCTCGACGGGGAATGATGTTGAAAGCAACTAGAAATAGAGATATGGGTATGGTTTTCACATAGCCAAACTGTCGCATGCATCACTCCGACAGATACCTGACTATAGTGCTGCTCCCACATGCCAGCCACCCAGAGTACACTGAGATGCAGTTGAACTAGATAATCTCTCGATGATCCTCGAACAGCGTCCATAGAGTGTCATCATGGACAGTCTGATCCAGATACACCCAGAATGGCAGCACAGCCTGATTCCCTGTATGCAGGACATATATAGCAGTCGTCGACATCTGCTCACTATATTGAATATCTAGCTCAAAACAATGGATGCGGTGGAAGTGAGAAATGATCCAGCCATGAAAAACAAATAAGATTCATTTAAGCATGAATTATAGTTATTAATAGCAAGTTAAATTTAATAGTTGGAATGAAAATTATTGTGAACAGTGTAGCAGAGCCTGTCAGTTGTCATGTTCTCCAGTTAGAGGCTTCATTCAACTTTTAGTATATGTATACCAAACAACCAGCCCCACAGTTCAACTCTCTCACTGTATCCAAATCCATGAAGTACCAGAGATATGTTACATCCACGTAGTTAGTACTTTGATCCACAAAAATAGACGTGCCAACCAAGAACATGAAGTAACACATCAGAGTACACTAACGATGATACATAACAAAGAAGTCGTCTCCCTCAAACTCAAAATCAGCCGCCGAAGAGAGGTGTTGTTGATATAGGTCCTCAAGGAATGAAAACTTGGCATGAGCCCCATTGGTGGAGGAACACTGCTCAAACACCTTTTATGTTTGAGCTTCTAAATATTCAATCATCCATTCAATCTCATCATTACGACTGATCCCGCAGTGGTTAAGTAACCTCCCTCTAATAGGAAGGTGTAGCACGCAGACAACATCATTAAGTGTGATCGTCATCTCTCCAACAGGAAAATTGAAAGATGACGTCTGCTTTTACCACCTCTCGACAAATGCCCCTGCATGTCGTGGATGATAGTGTTGTAACAAGAACAACAAAGGCCAGGAAGTCTGGAGGCAAAAATAGCCTCTCTGAACCAATCCTCATCAGGGTGATACAGCTCGGATAACTTCTGTGTGTGGTTCACGAACTTTAGTGGTTCTCGTTCCTGTCAATTTTAACATATTAATGCGTAAATCATTAAAAGTAAAAGTGTAAAAAAAATACATGTCCCTTCAAAACATATCGAGTGACATGATCAATGTAATAGATCGAGAGTGAGGTGTCACACGACCCTCCTAGAAAACCCGGGTTAGCCTCCTCCTTGGCTTCTAGAACACCAACCTCTTCGGGTTCTGGAACCTGAGCTCGTTCGGGTTCTTCCTAGTAATCCCTAGACGAGGACGCACGTGAAAGACGACTCCTCGGAGGAGAAGTCAATATTCCCTTCACTTTCTCCCGCGATACCCAACCGCATCCTCGACGCCTCGTAGCCTGCTCATCTCTCTCTAGTCGAGTGGACGCAGCTTGGCTAGGCCTACTAAGTCTTAATCTGTTGGGATTCTCTGCCATTTTTTTGGAAAAAAATCGTTAATTAAAGGGAAGCGAATGAATAAGGACATGTTTGAAAATTTAAAAAAAAAAACTCAGGTCTATTTTTGGAGATGCGTCTCTGAAACTCTTCAGATGGGTTTTCAGAGATGTATCTCCGAAAAAACCTGCGACTTCTATAATCAAAGCTTCAACCTAATAACACCATTTTTACACCAAGATCCAATTTTTACATATAAAAGCAAGCTTTTTACAGGTTACACATAATCTAAACAACTTAAAATACACATGCAAAGATTAAAAGGGATTAGGAAGCTTACTCAAATTTTAAGCTCTTAGAGTTGTTGAAATTGAGAGTTGGAGTGAGTTGTAACATGTGGAAATGAGTAGAAAAACTTGAATGACTTTTGAAAGTAGAGATTTTTGAGGTTTTTAGGGTGTTTGATAGTTAGAATTTGGAAGAAATAAGAATGATGGATGGTTGTTCATATTTGTTACTGTAATACTCTAATTTGGAGATGTATCTCGGAAACAACCCTGATTTTGAAAAAAAAATGTGGAATTTCGTCAAAGATGACTAAAAAGGTATAAGAGTGGAGAAAGAAATATCTCATATATATATATATATATATATATATATATATATATATATATATATATATATATATATATATATATATATATATATATATATATATATATATATATATATAAAATAGAGGGATTATGGAATAAAGAAATATTTCAACATAGTGTGTGTGATACGGTGGGAGAACTGACTAGTGTTATGCGTTCGTATTCGCACTTGTGCGGTTGAGCAAGAGTCGCCACCGACTTTTTATTTTATCCTAAAGGAAAGGTTGAAAAAGCACAGCAAAAACCTTTTGAGATATTTCGTGGGTTCGGGGGGTAGATTATGAAAAGGGAAGGTATTAGCACCCTTTTCATCCATGGTTATCCATGGGCTCTTAGTTACTTGGTTTTTTTAGATCACTTGCCTTGATTTTCGATTGCTTGAAAATGGTGTGTGTGTGTGTGTTTGAAAATGTTTTTGAAGAGATTCCTTGTCTTAGGCGACCAATGTATTTGACTCGTGTTTGAGTGTTTTACAAAAGTGTGGATCTTTTCGAAAAGATGTTTCAAATGTTTTTGAGAGTTTGTTTGAATGTGTTGTGGATTGTGGTTTTTGAAAAGAAGGCAAGTGTTTTTGCAAGTCAATCTCAAGTAACTAAGAGTTTTATCTACCCTATTGTACTCAAAGGTTTTTGTTATGTTTTAACCCTTTTTAACAATTTTGTTCCACCATTGAATTTGGTGGACAATCTTGCGTTTAGGAAGTTTATCCGGGACGGGCGCGGGTCATCGTATGAACCATGAATGCAATGATGCCAAGTGTCTTTGGAAATTCGCTTTGAAGGGACTATGATCATTCCTTTTAGGCAACACTTTGAGGGACTTATGATCATTTAATTTTGTTTTGCCAAAGAAACTCGACGTGCAAGCATGGCCCATTTTGGAAGGCAACATGTGGAATTACCCTAGAGGGTGCAAGTGTGATTGTGTATTGATTTCATGTATTTGTCTTGTATTAGGTTATCTAGCATTTGATTTCATGTACATGCAAACCCTAGGTCTAACCATGGTATAATTGGAAAACTGTAAATTGCGGAAATGTAAAATCTATGCTATTACAAAATAGTATCCGGGAGTGGGGGTACAATGTTCACAAATGGGGATGAGACTTATAGTATCCAATAAGTTACAACCAAATCGAATTTGCGATCAAATGTAAATATCGAATATCAATGTATAAGATGAACAAGTGTGTATAGGGACAATGTGAATGTATTTGTATTGTGTAAGTGTGAGATGTATTGTGTAAGTGATTACTTACATGTGCGACAATATGAATTTAAGAAGGTATTGTTAGGTATTTGTTTTGACCTAAATATGCGTTTAATGAATCTTGGATTTGTATATTTTTAATATGCACAAAAGAAATGTGTTTTAATTGAATGCTCAAGTTCTAATTAAATTATGTATAAAAAAGGTATCTTCATCTATTATGTAAAAATATTTAGAAGAGAGGAAATGTTTCAAGTTTGAAAATTGTCGTTTCGCATTTGATATAAGAAATGTGTCTTTGTGATTTTTGTGAGAATATTTGAATAAAAAGAAAAGTATTTTCAATTTTAATTATATGATGTAGAAAAATGTATCTTTATTATTATATACAAAAAGTATTAAATGTCAAGAATTGAATTATGTATAATAAAAAAGAAGTGTATTTTTATATTGTTATGTACAAAAGTATATTAAAAAGAAAAAGGTATTTTCAATTATATTGTATGATATGTACAAAAATATTTTAATTAAAAAAGAAAGGAAAAATATTTTCAATTTTAATTACATGGTGTAAAAAATGTATTTTATTATTTATTAGAATAAGTTTTAATAAAAGAAAGTGTTTTAAACAA